GTCTTGTCTCATATCTTATATGTTTCATGTCTTGTGTCTCATGTCTTTTGTGTCTCATGTCTTGTGTGTCTTGTGTCTCATGTCTTGTGTGTCTCATGTCTTGTGTGTCTCATGTCTTGTGTGGAGGGTATGTCGTCTTTACCAAGCAAGCTAACTCCACTAAAACAAGAACAGGCCTGCAAGTGTCTTCAAGACAATGTTTCCCTCTGCAGCCGTTGCCCTCTGCCTCCCCCTGGTCTAGCTACAGAACTAAACAGAAACTTGGGCTGGTTCTGGTTCTGGTTCTGTCATGACGTGACATGTCCTGTAAAACGTTCCTGCGATGAGAACGGACATTTGAACTATCACTCTGTCTGTGGAAGTGTTCTAACACTTGCTGACAGACTCCCAACCCACCAGGTTCTGACAGAACTCCACGGGACCGGTCCGAACTGTGGTCCCGTCTTCAGCGGAGCAGCACCGACCGTCCGCTCGCAGGACGAGCAGCAGATCAGATTCCTCTGTAGTAAAGTCCCTTTAACGATCCGTCACCTGACAAACAGCTGGCTCCACTCGGTCCTGACAGGAAGTGAGAGGCTGGGATGGTGCGTTCACTGACCAGAAACGTGTCGGATTCTTGAGTGTTGACATGTAAGTTGACATCAGGCTGTTCATCAGCCGGTGCCGGTCAGAACGTCAGCAGGTGTTTGACGTTTACAGCGCCTTGCAGACGGATTTTATTTTGAAAGGGCCACCTGGAGCGTAGGTGAGCTCAGACAGGTGTGATGTCACAGAACCGTGCTTTGTGTCCAGGACCAGTTGCAGCAGAAGATTGTGTGTCCAGGTGTGGTCACCTGTCTGACGGTGTCACCTGACGGAGCCTTCCTCGCCGCTGGAGTCGCTGAGGCTGTTTACCTGTGGGAGGTGAGTCTTGCTCTGTGGCGTTCCACTTCTGGTTTCCATGGCAACCGTTTGTAAAGTCTGTTTTCTCATTGGTCCAGGTGTGCACAGGTAAGCTGCTGAGCGTGCTCAGTCGACACTATCAGGACGTCACATGTCTGAAGTTCACCGATGACGGCAGCCATTTTGTTTCTGCGGGAAAAGATAACCTGGCCCTGGTGTGGACCGTGTGCAGGTAACGCTCACCTGTGTTTGGGCTGGTCCCAGCAGGTTCACCAGGACTTTGAGCAGGAACAGCAGACCCAAATGGTCATGGTCACAGTGGGGGGGCGGTCTGTGGGTCGTGCTGTCAGAATCAAACTAAAACCAAAACAAGTTGCTCCTGAACACAACGTGGGGAGTTCCTGGTTCTGACAAGGTCCAGTTCATCTCCTCCATCAACAGGACTTCAGCTGCATTCATTATTAAAGCACTTGTTAGGGGTTTGGGTCAGGTGCAGAACCAGAACCTTTGTTGCCTCGAACTGAACTCTTGTTTAACTTCTGTACGCTTCATGTTCTCATTTACAGTACGGTTAAATCGGTGGTTCCCGACCCTGGGCCTTGAGGAACGCCATCCTGCATGTTTTAGTTGTTTCCTGCTTTGACACACCTGATGGAATGAACGGATGATTTACAGACTTCTGCAGAAATGGAAGAAGTCACTGAATCAGGTGTGTTGGAGCAACATGCAGGATGGTGTTCCTCAAGGACCAGGGTTAGGAACCCTGGGTTAACCTCTCGTTTTTTGTCTCGTTTACCGTACGGTTACATAATTCTTGTTCTGTCCACTTCATGATCTCACCTACCGTAGATTTCATGACTTTGTCGGTCAAACGGTTCATTATTCATTTTACCGTACGGTTTATTTCATCAACTGTACAGTCTCAGCTGGGGTTGGAGATGTAGCTGATGTTCAAGCATTAAGTGAAAACCTGTTTGGATCAGTGACCGCAGCCAAACATCAAACAGCTGATGGTTTTTATCGAAGCAGACAAAAGAAGCAGCAGCTCAGAGACACGGATCAGCAGCGGACGAGACTCATCAGCTGCTGATCAAACAGATTTAATGAGCTGCTCTCCGTGAAGTTTCCTCCTGCTGATTTCAGGCATGAAGGAATTTGAGCTCCTTATGTTCTCTGATGGTTCCCACTGGTTATCTTCATCATCCAACACTTGATTAAGCAGCCGTGCTTTTCACCTGGTTTCCACTTCCACTGGTTTTTGTCCCAGTCTCTCAGCTCTGCTCGACCAGGAGACGTGACGGTAGATCGTCTGACGTCGGCACAGTTCACTGCGAACTTCCCCTGAGACGTCGGTGGTGTTTAGTAGAAGCTTGTGGTAAAACAGTCCTGTTGGATCCAGAGCTCAGACGAGTTTTAACAGGACGTTGGACAGTCCGAACTGCTGGTTTAACACTTAGTTACACGTTGACCTGGAGGAGTTTACCACAGAACCAGCAGGTTCCTGATGGTGTCACTTTATCTTACCGCCGCCTTAACTTTACATTTTTACCAACACACTTTTCTTATTTCCACATTCTTCTACAGTTTTCCTTCTAAATGTGGGTGACTTGTCGTCTTCGATGAGGACAGAGGAAGTCCTGGAGGACAGCTGAATGTTGGGTTTGGGTTTACTTGGTACAGGTTCTGGTTCTTACCTCCTGTTTCTCACCTCTCACACAGTGTGGTTCAGCTGGATTTAAGCCACGCCCCCGAACCTCGCCACGTCCTGTCTCGACACTCTCTTCCAATCACAGACCTGCACTGTGGCCGGATGGGAGCTCAGGCCAGAATCGCCACCGCTTCACTGGACCAAACTGCCAAGGTGAGACAGTTTACCTGCACAGGTTCCATGAATCAGTGGTCCCCCTCTTTAGGAGGGCTGCAGCGGTCCAGGGTTACCACACTGGTCCTGATGGTTTTATTACTTTCAAATGACTAGAACAAACCTGATAAACACCTGTGTTCACCAGCCAATCACAGCTCAGTATCATCGTGTCATCGGACCCGGGTTTAGTCCAGACCTGGTCCCGTGTGTCATCAGACCTGCTTTTAGTCCACACCGGGTCCCGTGTGTCATCAGATCTGGTTTTAGTCCAGACCGGGTC